GCCTGAGAGGTGGGCTGTAACTCCTCTTCAGTGACTTGGAACCTAAGACTGGGGCTGTGTTGGGGTTGGGAGGAAAAACGGGCCCCTCGGCAGTGGGAGTACCCGGGTTCTAGGACCAAAGATGCAAACGCCTTCCCTGTGCCTTGTCCTGCCTTCTCTGGTTCTCCAGGGCGGGAAACCAGAACAGCTGTGTTGGGTGCTGGCTTTTCCCGGAGCAGGGCCCAGACTCCTTTTGGGAATTTCAGGGAAGTTCCAATGCTAAGAGGGGAACTTTCTTGGTAGTATGGAAACACAGCAAGAAACCTTCAGCCATGACAGCTCAGAAAAACGTGTGCTGTCCTGGCTGAGCCCCTGTTGCAGGCACACACATGTCTGCACTTTGCCCCAGACGCTGGAGAACATCCCGTCCTTGTTCAGATTCTCTTTCCTGCCTCCCGTCTGCAGGGTTAACTGGGTCTGTCACCATCAATAACACTCCCCTGGAAAACTTCACTGTCTATTCTCTGGAGATGAAAGCGAGCTTCTTTGAGAGGTATGCTCACCCCTGCCCCGGTGGACACTTTGAGCGTCAGGGAACTCCAAGATTTCAAACCCTTCGCTTTGCAGATGAACAGCCCAAGATTCAGAGAACTGCAATGATTTACTCAAAGTTATCAGGTGCTTTGGAGTCAGGACTAGAGCCCTGCCTAGAACAAGTCTCCTGATTTCAATGTTAATGTTAATACTTCCAGTCTAATATAATACATCTCCCTGAAACAGAGTCCTAGTCCCGGCTAGGGAAACCGGGTCTCCACACTGGGACTGGAGTTGGGAGGGGTTTTCCCCTCCCTCATGGCTTGGCCCTTCTTCCAGGCTCCGCTCTGCCACCTGGAGGCCTGTCCCAGGTAGATATCTGGGCCCTGCCTTCTACCGTGGTACCTTGAGGGCTGGCTCTTCTCCCAGGGACACCTTCCTGAGGCTGCTGGTAAGTGAGACGCTCTCTGCCACTCTCGTGTTCCAAACACCTATTTTATTTTTACAGAGTTCGGAAGCAAAGCCATAGTGTTCCTGGCAGGAATACGTCCCTTTCTTCCTGTCCTCTTCTTCCTCACCTCCAACCAAACCTTCCAACATTTCTCAGTCTTCTTAACTTATTATTGTCTAGAAAACAACACATCAAAACACGATACAAAAATTCAAACAATCACAAGATATAGAGAGCAGAGGGTGGAAGTTCTCCTTTGATCCACCCCATTCCAATTCCTCTGCTTCTCAGGGTGGACCGCTGCCAACAGTTTGAGTGTTTTTATGTATAACTTTACCTAAATGCCCACAACCAGTTTTTTTTACACTAATGGGATTATATGATAAATTATATCCTACGACTTGCTTTTTTGGGGGGGGCGGGTTGCCGGTTAGTTTTTACCTAGACTATTTTTATGCATAAACACACAAAGATGACATAAATGCACAAAATATGAATGTACAAATCAACAAATTATCAGTAAGTGAACATCATCGAATTGTCACTGAGATTAAAAAGTATTGTTAGCATCCCTCCCAATTACTGACTCCCTTCTCCCCAGAGGTAGCTGCTATCTTGACTTCTAACACTCTAGGCCAATGTTTCCTTTTTTGACTTTATATATTGCATCATATGGTGTGTGTTCTTTTTTAATATGGCTTCTTTCATTCAACGTTGTTTGTGAGATTCAGACATTTGTTGATGTTGCAGTGATTTGTTCATTTTCGCTGTTGTGTATATGTATTCACTTTTAATAAATATTCCATAAGTTATTTAATGATGGACATTTGGATTACTTCCAGTGTTTGTCTATGATAAATAATTAAGTGAAGGCTTCTTTTGTGTTTATGTTCATGACTGAGATATCTTTGTCAGGTTTTGGTACCAATGTGTAGGGCCTGCACAAATGACTTGGGAAATGAAGTTTGTGCAAAACTAGTATTTCTTAAACATTTGATCAGTTTCATTAGCGAAGGCTTCTAGAGTTGGCATTTTATTTGTGGGAAAGTTCATAAGCGTGGATTCAATTCTTTCAAGATTAAAGTACTATTCAAATTTTATGGTTCTTTTAAAGTTAGTTTTGATAAAATATATTTTTCTAGGAATATTCCCATTTCATATAAATTTTCAAATAGACTGGCTTTAAATTTTTTGTTTTTGATGTCTAGATCATCTACAGTAGCATATTCTTTTTCATTTCTGTTATAGGTTAT